AAGCATTATGAGGGCTGGGGATATAGCTCAGCGATTCTGCTGCTTGCCTCCCAAGCACAAGGTCCCAAGTTCAATCCCCGGTGCCAAAAAAAAATATATATATATGAATTTACCTCTTAAAATGATAGTCACCACTTTAAACTCTTTTTGAAAATTATAAGAAAAATAGCTTTCAGCTGGGTATGATGGTGCAAGCCTGTAATCCCAGCAAATGGGAGGCTGAGGCAAGAGGATCGCTATGAGTTCCAGACCAGGCTGGGCTACATAGTGAGTTCAGGTCAGTCACAATTACATAGTGAGACCCTGTCTCAAAAAAAAGAAAAAAAATAGCTTTCAGAAATAAATTTACTCTAAACATTAGCCCAGTTGGATTTATTCCTTTATTGTGGTTCTGGGGATCAAATGCAGGGTCTTGTGCATGCCGGACAAACACTGCCACTGAGTATACCCACCCCTCCACACCTCCACCAGCCCAATTAATTTCCACCAAAATTTAGTATTATGGGATCACGTCGTGTTGTCTTCATAAATCTGAGAAAGCTTCCAGGACTCAATCCCATGGTTGGAGCATTAGTCACTGGATGAAAATATACCTTCTCATGTCCACCTTCCAGAAAAGCAGAATCCAAAACAAATTTCACATCTCCATCATCACAGAAGAGCACCAGGGGTGTAGCTCAACCTTGGCCAACTTTCAGGTTTTCTTTAGCATGGCTATCTCATGAGCAAACCACAGATTTCCACGCCCAATATCTAAATGCTTGGCAAGATGGTGTAAATTCACTTGTCTATCATGAAGAACTATCACCAGCCAATAGCTTTTTTTCTTTTTGTCCTTAAGAAACAGATTCTTGCCGGCATGCTGGCACACGCCTGTAATCGCAGCACTCGGGAGGCTGAGGCAGGAGGATCACTGGGAGTTCGAGACCAGCCTGAGCTACATAATGAGTTCCAGGTCAGTCTCAACTATATAGTGAGACACTGTCTCAAACAAGAGGAAAAAAAAAACAGATTCTTATTGTGTGCTCCTTTCAAATGCTAGATATGATATATCATTTCATTAACTATAAACACCTCAGGGTGCTCCATTACCTCCGTGTGGACAGCCAGGGTGCCGAGTCTCTGCTCTAGGACTGCCACCAAATCTGTTTCCACCATCCTACTGCGACACCAGAATCTGTTTCTTCAGTGGATGAGGGGAAAGAGTGCTCCACCTTTAAATTCATTCTTCCCCTTCCTGACAGCCTCTCCACTGGGGGTAGTACGTTCTGTAGTACGTTCTTTTATAAATAAACGCCAGGGCCGGGGACTTGGCTCGGTGGTTCCACAGCCTGCCTTGCAAGCACAAGGGCCTGAGTTCGATCCCCGGTACCTCAAAAACAAAAACAAAACAATAAAACGCCAACATCTCTTCTACCTATGAGGGAGGCACTCCCTCTACCTGGCTGACCTCCCCTCTTACTTCATCTGGCCTTCACTTAATTCATGCAGCTTAAACAGGGAGGCTTTAAATACGCTCCTTAGAACACCCATCCTCCCACTCACGCTGAATTCTTGACTCTCTTCGTGTCTTTCCTCAAAAGCCATCACCTCAGTGGACAGTTCCAGAACACCCCATCTAAAACACCAACGATTAATTTGCCCTGACAGTTCCTAGCCCCCTTCCCTGCTTGCGGTTCCTTTCATGTATTACGGACGACGTTCTAGGTACTTTACATATCGATCTCGCTTACTCTCTGTGTCCCTCCCTAGAATGAGAGCTTCAGGAAGTCACAGCTTGTTCACTAAGCCCCGCACCTAGAAGGCACCCGGCACAGAGGAGATGGTCAGTAAATATTTGCTGATGAATGAACAACCACACCCAGGGAAAAACTAGGTAAAAAGCTGAAGGACAATGAGAAAGCGTCCAAGACTAACGCCAGTGGCCTCAGAATGATCGTGAAACCGTCCAAGGCACACCAGGCTGCCTGAGGCTTCCAGCCAGCCCCCCTGAGAACTCCTGCATCCGGTATGCTGAACAGAGAGCTGGCAGGCACGTTAGCCAAGCCCACATGTAGCTCTGACACTAGTTTCCACGCCACCGAGCAGGAGCCATAAAAATAGAACAGATTGTTTCTAAACTGTTCTGACCAGTCTTGCTTTCAGAAGGGGCACAAGCAGATAGGCTAAGATCTAAACTTAGGAGCAGCAAGCCTATTTATTATACCAGATGAAGGAACACCTGTTTTCTCAACAGCAAAGTACACAGAAATATGATATGAATGCATTTTATTTAAGGTAATATTATGCCCGATTTCAAAGCATGCTTTTAAAAATGCTAAAATTTATTAAACTACTTTTGCTTTTAAATAATGTAAAATCAATTTTAATAAACAGACGCACAGATTGTGTCTGCAAGGATTCATGAGGAAGTGTATCAGCACTTGTTCCTGAGGACAGTTACATACTCGGAAGAAAAAAGTGAGAGACAGACATTTCCATTGTTACACTTTTCTAATTTAGGAATCACATCATGTTGATGTGTTACTTACGCAAAAATAATAACAGATCAAACTTGTTTTTGAAGCAGCCTCTCCCCGCACCCCCGTGAGGTTTTCCTTCCCCTCCAGAGTCCAGATTAGTGTTTCCACAAGGTACAGGCAACACGTAAATCCATGCTCCCTACCTCCTGGACAGGAACTCCCGGGACACTCCGGAATGATTAGAAGTTAGTTGGGCTGAGATATGTCAGCTCATTTTCTAACCTTTCATCTAAATACAGGTTTTTCACCTGTTAGAAAAGTTTCTCTCCCCTCCCGCTTCTCCCCTCTCCCTTTCTTTCTCTCTTCCTGGTATCAGGGGATCGAACTCAGAGCCTTGCTCTTGCGAGGCAGGTGCAGGGCCACTGAGCTAAATTCACATCCCCATATCCTCATTTTCTAATGAAAACCCTCAGGGCAAGGCAGGATCCTCTCAGAAACATAAAGAAAAAGAAATATCACTAAAAATGAATGGGGCTTAATAAAGTGAGATTATTTAAGGAGCCGCACCCTGAAAAGCTCTCTTTATTCCCTGCCACCTTGTATCAATCCACTTCAGAAATAAAATATCCACAGACAAGAAAAAGACCTGAACTGCAGCAGGGCCCTGGCTGAGCACTCAGCATAGAAAGGTTCCAGGGAAAGTCTCGGGGTTCTGTTAGGCGTTACCTACGGGCGCTATTTTTGTGTTCCACAAACTCTCCCCAAGCACAAGCACCAGAGACCCCCCTGGCTTCCGAAGAGTCAGCAGAGAAGCAAACGGGCGCTCTTTTACTGGCGTTTCAATTGGACACCCGAGAGGCCCGTGGAGGCCGATGCCCCGGGTCCTAGCATGACCGAGACTCACACACCACAACCCTTTCCTAATAGGTCACCTCTACCTCCCGCAGGAAACCGGCAGTAGACTGCAGTCCACTCTTCCTAATACACACCAGCCATACTGCCACCACCTAAGTGCCTCACCATTACTCGGTAAACACAGCTCATCCTGTGCCGGCGCTCCAATCTGAGCTTACATAAGCGGGTCTCTCCGAGGATGCTCAAAATCCTATTACTATCCTGCGGTTAAGAAGTAAAAGTGGGCCGGGGATTTAGCTCAGTGGTTCGGTGGCCTGCCTTGCAAGAGCAAGGACCCAAATTCAATCCCTGGTACCAAAAAAAAAAAAAAAAA